TGTGAGTAGTCTATTTTTGCCAGTATGTGTGTATATATATATTCGTTCTCCATAGATACCTGCGTCTGAGTGTGTGTGTATGTATGTGAGTGGTCCGACTATTGTATTTGGCCATTATATGTGTATGTTGTGTGTTTTTGTGTGTGGAGTAATGATATATTTAGTACTGGTCTAAATTTATTTATGAAGTTTTTTTATTGTATTTATAGGTAAGAATAATTGTCTGTTTGGTTTTTGCGGCATAATTTTAAATTTACTCTGATTACATTTACGTTTTCTGTTGTCTGGTAATTTGATGTTGCTTTTGTGTAGGGAAACTTTGTTTTTTAGTTGTTGCCTGATACCTATATAAGACTCCTCACATTTTGTGCCTTTGAGCGCATAAATCACATTTTTGAAGTTGCAGTTTAAATTTTTATTTATTATGAATGTCGTTTTTGGGTTTTCAAAAATGTCGGAGTTTCCTTCTATAAAGATATCACAGACCCCACATTATTTTTGTTGCATATTGTGACCCCTTGTATTGTGTGTTGCCTAAATATATATATGACAAACACATACGGGTCTTCAATCGCGGATCCCTTAATAAATAATCATAATTGTGCCGCTAATTTTAGTCTAGACACGTTTTCTATTCTTAGTAAGTCCCACTTACCACTTGAAAATATTGGAGGCCATATAGATTTTGACCCCTTCATTATGTAAAGAAAAGAGTTTTGTACTGGGCCCTCAATTAATTTCCATTTAAGAATTTTTTCCTTTCCCTACATATTTTCCATCTTTTTATTGAGAATTATATATTTATTAACCTCGATTTAGTTGAGCGAGGCTCGAGAGTGTTTAGCTAGATAATTTTTCAATTATTTTCCTTTTAATTGTTATCATTAGTGGTAATAAAAACAAATTTGTCTTTTTATGGCAGTCATATATATATATATATATATATATATATATATATATATATATATATATATATATTTTTTTATAAAAAAATTATAACATAAGTATGTTATAAAATCACTACAAAAAATAACCATTTTGTTTCAACACCGTCGGTGTCTTATCAAGTGATGATGTTGAATATAAAATAAATGGTTTTAAAAGTTTCAAATTAATTAACGATCCTTCGCTAGAATGACCAATCAAAACCCAAGGATAGGAAGATTCAAAAGCTTGAAAACGAAATCATGTTATAATAGCTATTCAGATCTTTAAAATACGGCTAATATTAAAAAAGAATTTATTCTAACCAATAATTAGTAAATTATATGATAAAATTTGATATTAAAATTAAAAACTGCCAATTTTAAAATCCAAATTTAATCACTATTAAGTTTAAAAACTATAAAATTACTGAGGAGAAAAGAAAAAATGCATATGTTATTCAACTTATATACAAAGTAGAGCAGATATATATGTATGTATGTATGTATGTATGTATATATATATATATGTGGTGTGTGTAATTAAGCTATGGAAAATATATTTCAATTGTTGAAAGATAGGCTAATTCTATAAACAGCAGTCACCTGCCGTAATGTAAAGCTCTTCAGTAAAATGAATTGGAGCATTCTGACTGATTGGCACTAGAATTAGCTGTCTCACTCTGCCGAGTGATGATGGCTTAGTGGTAGAAACTCTGACTGACAACAAATTGGTCGGGTTTCGGTTCTAACTTGAGGCATTCGGATGTCTAGTCGCACTGGGGAGATGCGAGACAGCACTGTCTGAGAATTACACATAAGCGCATCGGCCGTGAGTAATTACTCAAGGCTATGTGATCTTTATATAGTAAATCTACAGAAAAAATAAAATATTTTGCATTTTATACATAATTATCAGAGTAACCTTCACAATTTTGTTGGATTAGGTGCATATTGTGCCACAGAAGGAAAATGTAGCTGCTGATCTATTTTTTAGAGTAAGCACGAACTACCTTGCTTATATAGACGGTACATTTTTTATATATATATATATATATATATATATATATATATATATATATATATATATATATATATATATATATCCGACAGTATGAAGAAAATATAAATTGAATATGGTCTATGTTAATTATGTTTTATGAATATGTCCTGAAGATAGTCTATTAGACCGAAACGTCCGACGTTGACATTATATTAACATTAAAACAGCATAATTGCATATTAGGATTTTTGTTTGTTTTTTTTCGTATATTTTTCTTCATATATATATATATATATATATATATATATATATATATATATATATATATATATATATATATCCGAATCCGAATTGCTTGTGTCACACATTTTTGTAAAAAATGAGGATTGATTTTAAATCATTGTTATAATTTGTGGAGGAAAATGAAGCATTTCAATATCACTCAATGATCTTGCTGATGTGACCTCCATTTTCTGGATTTCTTCAATATTTTGAATAGGAGTCATTCCCTTGTATAAATTTAATTTAAATCAAAAGGAAAACAAATTTCAGTGTGGTGTTTATACCTCACGGG